CCCCCCCCCCCCCCCCCCCCCCCCGAAATGGGCGAGACAGAGGCAGAAGTTGGTTCTTAAAGAGACAGAGGCCAATTTCAAGGCGTTTAGAAGAGGAAGTGATGAGAAGATAAGTTTATTTTCTATTTAAACATAAAGATAGCGTTTTAATAACAACTGAAGGTGATAGATACTTTATTATGGTACAGTATTTATTTAAATTTATGTCTGAGAAACACATAATATTGCCCCTTTTTAACTATGGGGAAAAATGCATAAAAAACACCAACTTTCATAAAAATATTCAAGGGATGAGAACGGATTAACTGTTGTTCACATTAATGATCTTGGTAGCTTTAAACCTACTTTTTGGAGCCTAGTATCTACTGTTACAAGTTATTTCCTTATGACCCCTTGRCTAATCAGGAGTTTTGTTTTAAATTTCAGAAGGTTCCAGGAGCAGAGAACATTCTTGGATTGAAAAAATATTCTCGGACATTGTAAACTGCTCAGGGAGTAATTAAGGCCAACACATTTTCAATTCAGAAAGGCATTACACTCTTTAAGAATAAAAGACTTGACAACACAAATAACATATTTCTAATGCAGTGTGGAGAACAAGCCAGTTTAGTCAAGAGGACTTGCTAGATTTGATAAAGCTATCATTTGAAAGTGTCTGTAGACGAGGAGAGGGGAGTTTATCAGCCAAGACACGCCATCAAGGACTTGTTTTGGTAAATCCTGTTGGCCTCACACCAGGTCATTTGTGTAGATATGACTGATAGAATTAGCAGCTCATTAACATCCAGGCGCTGCTCCCAGCACCCACATGTCTGTCCGAGGAAAGGAAATTCTAACTTTATCTCCTGCTCTGTTCTTGTAAGAGCAGAAGGGGAAGAAAAGGAAGAAAACTGGGGAATTACACAAATGTTTGAGGACATTAATGTTAAAAAAGGGATGGAAAGGGGAAACAGCTTGAGGCATGATGGTGATAAAACCCAAACCTTCTTGAGGCAGGGACAGAAAAGATATAAATGGGACAGAAAGAGTCAAAATGACAGAAGACGGGACATAAAAAGTGAAAGAGGAAGACAAAGAGGGGTGGGGGGTGATTTAAGTTTAGAGACATGAGATGACTAAATATGGTGCAGTTCATGTGCAACTCAGTCAAACGGGGGATTCCTCCAGGCATATCTGGCAGATGAGTGTGTCGATTAAACAGAGGGAGAACGGTGACATGGCTGCTTGATTCCCACAGTCTGCTCTCTGAAGTAAGACGCAAGCCTTGCAGCAAAGTGTTAACAGTTGTGATACGATTCAAAACAACGCACAAAAGTCTGGTCTGGATTACAAGCCGAAAACTTCCTCCTCAGCGCTGTAAAATCGGCCAAATGTGAGCCGGTTCCACAAAATTTTATGAATGTGAGATCTGCCAGATTGTCAGCAAAGAAACTTCACCAGTTGAGCCCTGAAGCATCAATAATGCATTTCAGACAAAGGATTCAGTGGTTTCTGTATTTAACAAGCCACAAGTTTGCCTCGGTGAGGGAAAGAAAAGGTCTTATTAAATGGAGTTGAAGTAGCAACAGCTGTTTGTGAGAGGCAATACATATGTGTGTGTGTGTGTGTGTGTGTGTGTGTGTGTGTTTGATTTGGAATTAATATTCCAGGTGGTATTAAAACAATAGTTTGACCATTCTGTCTGTAATAAATTGCATGACCTTACAACACTAACAGCTGGTTTCTGCACACTTTCATATAATTTCCTCWTGGGGTTGGGCAATATTGACATAAAATTAATCATGATTGTGGTATTTAGCTAATAGCAATTAATATGATGCTTAATGGATGACAATACACTTGCTAGTAGCTGACTGTTGGGCCTCATGCAAGAACTGTTTGTAAAAAAGATTTTTTTCAGATACGAACAAAATTCACGTGTGGTCCAGACCTGTTGTATATTTTACAAGCAGTCAGATTACTGTTATCCAGACAGATTTTCTTCACTAATAACTTTATATTTCATTAGTTTGAAGATATTGAGTTAAAAATAATCACACTCCATAATTATGTTGACAGTAATAGGCCATGCTGTTTGAATTGGAATGTAGCAGAACAATATAATTTAAATTGGCTATTAAGGCTATTGTATAACACTACAACAAAATTTTCAAGATCTCAAACTACAAATCAACATAAATTATGCATTAACTGTAATGGCAAGATGTTTCTTTGAAGCCACTTTCATATCAAACTTTTTCTTCTTTAAGTGAATCATGTCAACCCCTTCAGACGTTTTACCTGTGACCCTCAAAAATCTGTAATTTTCACAAAACATCCTTATTACTCACGGTGGGGCTGCAGCAGACTCTCAGCAGTGCACAGTGCCTAATGTGCAAAGCAGGACAGGGAAAAGTGRATAACTTGTTTCTATCAGCAGAGCAGTTGGAGTACTG